AGATAGGACAGTAGCGTACTAGAAAATAATGTAAAAACATGACTTATCAAAAAGAAAAAATTAACCTATTGCTTTTGTTTTATAGTTAGTTTTCACATTCACTCTCATCATGGGAATCTCTATCACTGTCACCAACATCAACAATTAGTTCTTCTGTTTGTCTGTCTATTACTTGCTCACTAGTCCCTATTTTTAAATATTTAATCTACGCCCCTGATAGGAATACTGAAGAATGAGGGCTGCAATATTTATACCTAAAACTGCCTACTTTTGCCACCGAACATCCACGCCATTTTATAATTTCCGCCAGCTTCCAGCGTCAGGCCTGTAGTTCTTTGCCTACTTTTGAGGAATTATTGCAATTTCTAAATAAATTCTCCCTTCGAAGATGATCTTTCTAATGAACCTGTTCAATCTCGGAGCAAATTTAATGAAATTCGCGAAAAAATAGGCACAAAACATAAGCACGCTTACGTCGGCACACAATCAGGTAAATCATGTTCGTTATGTAAAGGTGATCACAACATATATCAATGTAACAAATTTAAAGGGCTTTCAGTTATCGAAAGGTCAGAAGCAATAAAACGGGCAAATTTGTGTTATAATTGTTTGCGAACCGGACATGTAGTAAATCGTTGTTTATCACTTGGTTGCCAAATCAGCAATAAGCGACACAATACTCTTTTACATCAGCAAATGTCTTCAGATAAATTAAATCAGGTTGTTGAAGGTCCAAAAAATGGTTCCTCTACAGAAGCGGCTCCAGTAACGCTAAGCATAAGCACTTCATCTGAAGTTTTGTTATCTACCGCTCGTATTTACATTATTCATCAACATAGCGCGAATGTAGGGTTTTGCTTGACAAAAACATGTAATTGATATGCCAGTTCTAGGGCTGAATCAACAAAGTACAAACATTAACTTTTCTGTTCAGGCTACTATTCAATCGAAAGCTACTAGCTTTTCAACAAAAACAGCGTTCTTGGTGATACCAAAAATAACGGGTTACCTTCCTTCACGTCAGATCAATCCCACTAGTTTATTGATACCAGCAAATGCTACACTCGTTGATTCAGATTTCTACAAGCCATCGGAAATAGATGCCCTAATCGGAGCTTAATTGTTCTATAAATTACTTAGTAAAGGTCAAATTAAACTTGCGAATAATTCTGCTATTCTTCAAAAAACAGTGTTCGGTTGGGTAATTTCGGGTTCAGTAAGGAGTAACGTTGAGAACCCCAAACAGACATTGTGTTGCGTTTCCAATACGTCTTTAGACGATCAGCTGAAAAGATTTTGGGAAATCGAAGAGGTTGGACCTTCAGTACATTGGTCGCAAGAAGAAAAAGCTTGTAAACAACACTATCGCAAATACCATATGCGAACCAACGGGACGTTACGTTGTAAGATTGTCATTCAACGAACAAAAGCAAGTTTTAGGGGAATCTTATAATACAGCTCTAAACAGATTTAGAAATATAGAACTTAAGGCACAGTATGCGGTGTTTCTCCACGAGTATTTAGCATTAGGTCATATATCAGAGGTCACAAATGATTCTAAATATACAGAAGGCTATTTCTTACTGTAGCCACTCTCTGTAGTCGTATATGATGAGAGATGTGACTATCAAAGTTGTGGTTCTGAGAAGAACCGATTTAGTAATACCGTTGGACACATTATCTGCATCTTTGATGATCCCAAGGGTTGACACTTTATCAGCATCAGAATAAGAGTGAGCCTGGTGTTAGACTAATTTTATTGAATATTTACAGGCTATTTATACTAAATTATTTACATGGTTTTATATGGTGAGGAACATTTCAGCACAATACATTTGTGTGTGTATTTGCTGTTGACCCAGTTAGTCGCAGTGTGTCGCGACCTAACTAAGTCAGCACAAATGTAGACGCTTGATTGATACACACAATAAATATTTTTCGCTATACCGAGTGTTCCCACA